GGGGGGGGGAGTCCGCATTCGGCCCGAACGACCGAACGCCTTCCGAAGGGGTCCCGTACATTCGGGCGTTCGGGTTCGGGCGTTCGGCCCGTCCCGAACGCCGGCAACCTTATATATATATATATATATATACATGTTCAGAGGTTCAGAGAAATCATCACACTTGTTGCACAAGACAAGGGTACGTCAAGCTCGAATGTACGAGATCAATACAGATTAATGCAGGACAATTGAAAAAACTCGTGGTGTTCTTTCATTACGTCCACAAACCTAATGATCCTCCGTTCATCCCGTCATCCCGCAACGTCGACCACATCCGTGGACGCCGCCGAACATCACCACCAAGAGGAAAAATCAATCGTACGTCAATCCTATTATAGTACTGCAGCACACAGTTCGCGCCAAAATCATCAGGTAGTTTACGGAGTGGGTAGTACCCGTCGGTCTCGTCCCAATCGCAGAAAGGGTCCCGGGTTCTACCCGGTCCAAATAGCAAGCCTAAAATTAGGCCAAATCCCAAGTGCGTCTACCCTGTCCGAGTCTACCAAAAAACTATCTAAAGAAAATCAAAAACAAACATCAGAAACCAAATCAAGAGGACCAAATGAAGACTAAAAAACAGTCTCACGACATTCCATATCACACCAAAAAAGAAAATCGGTCAAGTCATTAATTCTACAGTTTGCTGCCAAATTTAACCACGTCGGACGACAAAACGAGTCAAAACCCTCATAAAGCAGGTCTTTGAAAAGTCCTTACGAGCCAGTTCCTTTTGCAAGAACAGTACCCGCAATGGATTTCAGACCGAATGTTGGTGTTCTTATCAATCCTATGAAGATAGCTACCAATTATAACACTTTTTTTGCGCTTACATCCCCATGAATGGTATGATTGTCCATTCTGAATTCTCAACCGATCAGTGGTCCAAACACAATCCTCGTTTTTTGAAACTTGCACGCAACCCAAAAACGGGTAGGACTGAGAAGTCCTTACTTGGCAACCCAGGAACTCGAGACAACCCGAACCATCATCCATTCGCTTGACTTGCAGATTATTCGGGTAATATCCTTCAAAAGCCCGAAGGATCCTGTCAACAGTTTCCCCATTTGTGCTTGATATTGCCAACATAACATCATCGATGAGACGTGTGGCAAATATCAAACGAGACGCTCTTGCCAAGGTGGAGATGAAAAGGTATTCCGAGAAGGCATACCGCATACAAGCCAGTGGCGGACTAGTACTTTTTCCCATAGGGATACCCAGTTCCTGCTTCATCAGTACCCCAGTAGCAAAAAAGTAGGTATGCCTAGTATCCAAAAAGACGGAGGAGCGCAAATCATCCAAATCCAGTTTTGCCCAATGATTACCACCGGTGGTCAAGCCGAAACTAGCCCCTTTCCCTTTCGTGTTTACTTGAACAAAATCCCGTCCCTTTGTTAGGTGAAATCAACTAGCCAGTCGACTGCTCTGCAGATCGCCTCCCGGGGCAATTTACTGAACATATCTTTAATATCGAAAGAAAATGTCGAAATAGTACGATTGAACCCCGGTCTAAGGAACTTCTTGTTTGCGATGTCCAACTTACCCACCAAGTCTGATACAGAACGCAAATTGAAATGCCAGTATTTCGGAATAGCATACAACAGGTGATTCAAAGCCCTTGCTACCAAATGCCCTGCTCGAACCATTGGGTCATTGTAAGATGGGAAAATCAGCCTGTACCTACACAGATCCTTATGCTTCGGAATAATATAGGCAGCACCAAACCCACCTTTTTTATTCCACCTTGCAAACTTCGTCAAACCTGCAGAGTGCACATCTTCACGAATTTCTCGGGCAATTTGCCCTTCCGTGGCTGATATAATCCGGTAACCAGCGTTGTGAACAAAAGTGGACAGCATGGCCTCATAGTAGACACTAGGGCACATAACTACCGATTCGTCGGGGTTACGGTCGATCGAAGTGGTCACCAAATCCGCAAAACGCTGTTTGACAGCGAGTACCTCATCCATCGTCAGGCAACAAGTCAACTCCTTACTACATGTCAAACACGACGCAAGATCCTTTAAAACAACATGCGGTGGAACACCTGAAAGGTTAGGCCAACATTTGAAACCGCATGATATCTCATCCCTTAGCAAAGACAGACGGTTAGCCGCATGCACGCGTGACACGTTTTTAGCATTAGCAAGCAGTGGGGAAACATCCTCAAGCTCACTCAAGCGGAAGATTACATGTCCCTCAATTCGCGGGAGAGGCAGACCTGCACAGGTACAGGTGAGCACATCACGTGTCGCAAAACTACGTTGATTGTGCAAGATATCGAAAACAGAGGGGTTCTTCACCCATACAATCCGAAGCTTCTTCCGAACTCGATGCAAAAAGCATCGTGGCAAATCCATGCGCATCAGTATGTCATTGACCACCTTTCGAACTTCCGAAAGTTTAATCCTGTCATCGAATTTGATACGAAACGTTAAGTCAACAGAGAGACTTAAACCAAAACGATTACGAAAACAGCGCGAAACTGATCTACGCAGGTATTTCCTAGTGGACTTACGTGAAAATTATCACGTTATATAACCGAAGGATACCTTTCATTCCCCAGCCGTACAACTGTTCTAACTTCTTAGGATTACGTAGAATACCAATCAAGATCCTCTTCAAAAATTTACAATGCGGTTTCCATTTACAGACATGAAAAATGACGAACTGACCATCCAGTTCTATCCGCGACTTACATTCCCTCCCTTGGAGATTACGGTAAGTATATTATCGCTATTCAAAGCATCATCAAATAGTTGGAAAAAATCAATGTCCCAAGAGCATGAAGACGTGATCCGAAACCGAATTGGCACACTAGTGTGCGCAGTGGCAGATCCCAATCCACGTTGCTTGACCCTTTCCTTCCTACCAGGCTTGCACTTCTTTTTTCAATGACCTTACGACTTAGAGCAACTCGTGGAATTCAGAAATGGTGACCAAAGATCAATATACACCTGCTCAAGCTTACCGAGATCGTCACCTACCAAAACATCCATCGGTACCAAAATGTAGTTACCAATACCAAACGAGGTAAGCCATCGGTGAAAGTGAGACCGAGTCTTCTTACGGCAAGCGTAAATATGCTTCCGCCACCTCGTATTGGTGTCTCGGTTAGTCTTACCAATATAGAATGCCTTACAATACGGTGAAACGGCTACATACACACAGTTCGTCAATTCCAAGAACTCGAGACCATGCTTATTGTACAGATCAACCCAAGCCCCGACAAACTTACTCAACCAACGAATCTCGTTATGTACGGCAAGGAGCAATATAGTTATCCTAAAGCGACCTTCAATCCTACGATCGACAGTAAAGGACTTACAACGTAATCCAGAAAGATACCTGCATAGTGACCAAAGTTGAGGCACACTTAGGTCACATCACGGTTTCGTGTCCTTAGCAGCTTCCGCAGTCTCACCTGTTTCTCCTGAATCGCCAGACTCGGTGATGCGAATCACCTCAGTAGCAACAACATCTCCATGTCCGTACTTAATTGCAGCACGGTGGTCGACGATATCAAAGATCGCGTCGATCTTCTTGTCGTACGCGATACCTTCCTCCCTGCAAATCTTCTGTAGCTCCGTAGCATCCAGGCTCTTCAGTTCCATCATGACAAAATTCCGATAGCATAATCGGGCCAGCGATCCCTCGGAAGTTGGGGTCAGAGCTTCTGGTGGCGTCTTACGACTCACTGTTGTCGTACCCTTGGCGGAGTCTTGACCGACGTCTTCCTTTTGGAGGATCCCGACGACTTGACGGTCTTCCTTGCGGTCTTAGATCGTGTCAACGCGATGTAGGTTGTACGACCTTCAGGATCCTGCATTTTGGTGTCCGCTTAGGTGCCTCTTCAATAGGTGAGTTTTGTGCGAACATCACCCGTGGGCCGCGCTTCCTGCTCTCCGAAATGAACAGTTCTTCCGTCTTGGCACCGATTTCTTGAGTCACACTTGTATGACTATCCTCACTTTTGTAGTCAGATGCCGATTCCTCGCCAGATTCAAGGGTAACAGGTAGCTTGCCTTTCTCCTTCTGAAGCATGTTGACCGCATCAACTGCTTGTCTCACCCGGTCCACAAAACGATCCTCCATCTCACTAAGCCTGATCGCCATGTGTATGTTCAAGTCCTTCTTCATCTCCGCACGCCGTGATTCCTCCAGGCGCTGCTTCTCCTTCTTCTTGTTGGCTTTGCGCTCCAGTCTAGCCTTCTTTTCCTCTTCCCTTCGCTTCTCCTCCTCTTTGCGCTGCTTAGCCTCTTCACGCTCCCGCTTCTTTCGCTCTTTCTCCTTCTTGTTCGAAATTTCCTCATCAAAATGCTCCTTCATTGTAGCAAGGCTCCAAGCTAGTTTCGCAATTTGAGCTTTACTGCCCGGATCCAGTTGCGGAACATGTTGTTCCCGTCTCGGTTCGTAACGCCTGGGCGATCTTGATCGCCTTGAGTCCGTTGACGTAGAAGGTCTAGCCGGACCAAGATATCGTCTCCGGTTCGGACACTGATTCGCGTAATGTCCGACCTCTCCACAGTTGAAGCACGTAGGTCCTCGTTGCGGTCGACGGTCTCCTCCGCCATCGTGTCCCAAATATCCTTCCCGATGGTCGGTGCTCGACATCTCGTGTAACCCGACTCCCAGATGCCCGACGACACGTATCGATGCGGCGGAACCGAACAAAAGCAAGTTACAAGTGAGGGTAAAAAAGTAACAAGTAGCGCAGTGTAGTGAAAACACGCTTACTCCTCCCCAGTAAGCTATCTCCAGGTAAGTTAACGTGCGCAGTTCTCGGTTCAGAGAAATCATTACACTTGTTGCACAAGACAAGGGTACATCAAGCTCGAATGTACGAGATCAACACAGATTAACGCAGGACAATTGGAAAAACTCGTGGTGTTCTTCCATTACGTCCACAAACCCAATGATCCTCCGTTCATCCCGTTATCCCACGACGTCGGCCACATCCGTGGACGCCACCGAACGTCACCACCAAGAGGAAAAATCAATCGTACGTCAATCCTATTATAGTATTACAGCACACAGTTCGCGCCAAAGTCAGCAGGTAGTCTACGGAGTGGGTAGTACCCGTGGGTCCCGTCCCAATCGCAGAAAGGGTCCCGAGTTCCACCAGATCGAAATAGCAAGCCTAAAATTAGGCCAAATCCCAAGTGCGTCTACCCTGTCCGAGTCTACCAGAAAACTATCTAAAGAACAGCGTTCGGGACGGGCCGAACGCCAGAACCCGAACGCCCGAACCCAAACGCCCGAACGTATGGGACCCTTTGGGGATGCGTTCGGCCGTTCGGGCCGAACGCAGACCCAAAAAAAAAAAAAAAAAAAAAAAA